AAATCGATCTAGCTAGAAAAGGAGCGAACACTCCACTAACTGGACCAGAACAGTTCTGCTCCCCAAGTGGAGACCAACTTAAAGCAGAGCTGAAGGACCTGGAAGACTCCATTCGTAACCTGGAATGGGATTCCTCCAGCAGCAGTCTAAGACAATGGAATACATTTCTCAGGACTTATGACTGAGAAAAATTCAAAGATATTCCTTGATTATAAGAACAATCTTGGGATTGTCAGGAGGTATACAACAGGATATACTCTCTTCAATGAACAGCTCAGTAGCTTGAAATTAAAAAAAAAACAACGGCAAATGCAGATTCTGTGGGGAAAATTGGGAGACACCAGGCGTCAGCGATGGCTATGAAATAAAGATCGCTGTTATTTTATATGTAAAACTATATGGGGATGGGGAATGTCATCGATGTTCATTTCCAAGCCAACTGGACGCCGTTTTTATTCGATCATACGGTACAATATGGCCAGTCTAAAATTTGAACATCCTGTTACAATTTAGATGAATTTTAAAAAAAAAATCATATTGTATCGGAAAACACATCTTTATGTACTTGCTATCAGTCCGAAAAATAAGGTATAAGGTTTTATAGTAAAAAAAATAGTTTTTTTCAAAAGACACAAAAGTATTAATTTTTGCGACGTGATTGACAATATAAAAAACTCATTTTAACGTCTAGGCATGAAAGTAAAGCACTTTTACGCCTAAGCATAAAAGTACGAAAATATATTATTGAACTGACATAAAGTGTCAAATTCAACGAGCGTAACCATAGTTTCTCGATATATTATTACATACAAGGTATGACTTTTTAATCTTTTTATATTATTTGGAACGTTTGAAATTGTTTAAAAAATTATTTGTAGCCTCGGCTGTATGTCAAGTCAAACAGCCTCGTTACAAAATGTGTCATTTTTACTCCTAATAAGACGATATACTTTTAAATATCTGCAGTATTATTTATTACGATTATTAAAGGAAACTTTAGAAGTACAACAAGTCTGGTACTGATATTAATTAATGAAGAATGATTAAACAATTTGCTTGAGGCTTTCCGGTAACGTTACAAGATACTTATTTATTGAACAAATAATAAGGAATATAGGATTACAAATAAGTAGTTAAATTAACTCAATACATCCTGCCAGGCATTAAGCAACCCAGGATTTAAACTGCAGCAATTAAAATTAGAAACATTTATTTTGTTGTTTAAATAAACACTTCTCGATGTTTATTTTAATTGTTATTAGGTATATGTAGTTTTTTTTTAATAAAATCATTAATAAATAATATCATTTTATTATTTCTATATTAATAAATTTATTATTATTTGGTTATTACATTAGTACTATGTATAAATGTATTAAAATACTATATACAATAAAAAAACGGCGTCAAAGATAGCTGAGGAATGAATGATCGACGATAATTTTGGCGATGTCAATATAGAGTAAAAATGATTTTTAAATGGCGCCAAATAGTTGGTATTACAGAGCTGCAAGCTCACAGGAAACTTAAGTCTTTTTTTGATTTAAATCATTCTAATGACTTAAGTCATTTGATTTTAAGTCATTTTGAGTCATTCAAGCTGACTTAAAACTTAAAATTTAAGTCTTTTTGAAAATGATTTGTGATTTAAATCTTTATTCCAAAACAGAAAAAGATTTTAAGTCTTTTTAGAAAAGGTTTAAGTCAGATTTTTATATATTTTTATGGTAAATTTTTAACAGCAGCATTTCTTTTTAAACTGTTATAAAAAACATTTTTGTGTTTGGAGTTGTTTTGAAAATTAATCGTTTTATTTTATGTGGTTTAAGTTAGTTCATCTGTACATACAATAAATTGATAATACCGTGCTGGCAACTGTTACTTTTGGGTCGGCAGTTACATGTGTGGAAGTAAATCGCATAGGGATCTTATTAAGTCGGAGTGAGAGAAATGCGACCGACCGACGCGACGCGCGACGGTGTGCTGCTGCGGCGTTGCCGATACGCCTTTCCCTATCAAGTAAAGTAAAATCACGATCGCAAACCGCTTATTTTTAAAAGACTTTTTTTTCGAGAGATAACTAGATAAAATCATTAGACATGTTTCTGAGCATCTGAAATGGAATTATAAGGCTATCGTTAGGGTGTCATTTTTTTATAACGAGAAAACGTCAGTAATCGCGATAATTTAAAAACTCAACTTTTTAACACATAACAGGCCATAACTCAAGAACCATTAGATATTGAACCTTTTTTTTATTTTCAAGATCGGATATTTTACAATATGTTTACATAAGAAAAATTCGATAAAGTTGCTTTTTCCAATCAAAAATTGTAAACAATCCATCCATTTACTTTTAGAGCATAGCAATGTTCAGCAATCGTGTAATTTTTTTATTGATAAAGATTTTCACATACTGTCTACAAAGAAAATACAGCAGAAATATTAACAAAGTTCTTGAAAAAACTACAATCTATTATTTCTAATATATTTCGAGATATCGATTTTTGAATTCAGATTTCTAATAGCGCGACCACTATCGAACACCCACTCAATTCCACTTATTTTTACCAAAAGTGCAAGTGTTTCTAGCTTGCGAAAAAATTCAAGCTATAGGGAAAATTACAACGACTCGTTAATAAATAAACAAATTAAGTATCACGAGACGTAATTAAATCGTGAAGCTGAACGTATGATGTACACCTTTCCCTAGAACTTTAAGTACTGACAGAGGTATGGGTCGACCGGTCAACTGCGACAAATCTGCTATATCCCCTTCCACGTCTCTTAGCGATGTGCACAGTTTCTCGGTTTATATCATACGTTTGGCAACGTGTTTACTGTCCTCTCTTTGTTCAGTACATTATAAACGCATTGTACTCTCCTTACATACGGAATCGACCCCCGTTTTGTAACGAAATTTAAAATTATGTCTTTATTTTCGAGAAAATTTAGTCCAAACATAAGGAATATTTTGTTGATGTTTGACCATCAAAATCTTAAAAATAAAGAAGTTGTCTAAAAATGTGTGCTACAATACGGATATACACACACCGGAAAAGTCTAGGGATATTACAATTTTATCCAGCCATCATCAGTAATTTTATTATTTGCATTTCTGATATAATAAAATTAAAATAAACAAATAGTTTACAGGACGTATTGGAAATAAAAATGCGAAATTTACCGAATTTTTCAAATTTACCGTGATTTTTATTGAACTCAAAAAAATATACACATTTTTTTTATTCTAAACTGTGAATTAAAAAAAAAAGATAAAACCATTTTTACTTAATAAAGGGTATGGCCTCCTCTACTGCTCATTACAGCCCTACATCGTCTCTCCATGCTCCTGATCAGGTTGTCGATCTCTTCTTGAGGTACAGCCTGCCACGCAGCATTCACGGCCCGAACCAGATCCCTACGAGTTTCACGAGGCATACCCATTCTCAAAATTCTTCTTTGGACCGCGTCCCATACGTGCACGATGGGGTTGAGGTCAGGATATTATGCCGGCCAGGGTAAGATGTTTAATTGATGAGCATTGATAAACTCACTTACCACTCTGGCTGTACGAGGCCGTGCATTGTTATGCATGAGAATGAAGTGCATCCCAAAATCATTGGCATATGGTAACACGACAGGCTCAAGAATTAAATCACGATATGTGATTCCTGTTAGAAACCTTTCAAGAAAAACGAGATCGGTTTTTCGGCCTAATTGGACTCCTCCCCAGACCATAACTATTCCACCTTGATAAGGGTGCACTTCCTGAACATGATCCAACCGAATAAAATTTCCCGGTTCTCTCCATACCCTAAGTCTTCTCGAATCCGGATGAATTCCAAAGCATGACTCATCCGTGAAGAGAACATTGGCCCATTGTTCATTCGACCACTGAACATGATCTTGAGCCGACAAATATGGTACCTCTCGATTTCCTCTCGTTAAGGGTTGAGCTCTCCAGGGGCGTCTGCTTCTTAAGTTGACCTGTCTTAATCATTACGAACAGTGTCAGGACTAACGGTTACATTATGTGTTTCCTGGAGAACTAAAAACTAAACTAAGTTCTAGTGCTGTAAGAGTCGGTCGGCGTCGAGCATTTAATTGTAAAAAATGATCTTGCTGAAAGGTAGTAATGCGATGTCGCCCTGTGTGCCTTTCAGCAACATCACCACTTTCACGGTAGAGTGCACTTAATCGCGATATTACACTTTTCGTTGAATTTAATGCTCTAGCTACGTCGATTTGGCGCATTCCAGCTTCGAGCATACCCATGGCCCTTAGCATTTCGTCTCTGTTAAGATGTCTACGCTCCATAATGTCGTTTAATACTAAACAGAGTTATTTGAATGAATTTTGGCCAGTTATCATAAAAACATAGCCTGTACAGGTTAAATTCGAACAATTGATGCTAGGTGCTTTTTATACATTTGACAAAAAACACTTCTGCAAATATCCCAAATTTAGAAATAACCAGTGTGACTACTTCGTTTCAATCGAAGTAGAAAGAATCGGCCTACAAATATGTGGTTGTTTATTCAAAACATTTATTTTTAATTTTAATAAAATGATATCCCTAGATTTCTCCGGTGTGTTTAGTATAATTCTTTATCTTTAATTTCCTTCTTCATTTGTGTAAAAATACCTAGCCAGTTTTACATAAAACGTTAAATGCCGAACGCTTATTTGGCTACTTTTTCGGACTAGTAAAATGGACTCTTAAGAATTAAGTGTTTTTAAAACTGACATGTTACAGCTCTGGTTGGTATACCATAAAGCATCATGTGCAAAACAAAATTCCTGACAAAAACTTGTTCATTTCACTAACTTTCCTTGCCACTATGTCTCTTATTAATCACCGGCTCAAACTACAACCAATCAATAGGTCAGTGCCGAAAAAAGCCGTCCGCGTTCGTGCTTCCTTCCACCTGTAGTACCCGAAGAAATGGAAGAAGTAGTGTCTTCAGGTACCACCGCAATCTAGAACGCGTCCGCCAGTTCTCCACCGTGCTCTAAACAGAAACGAGGCGCGCGATTTGTTTCCAAGTCGTACCAGATACGTACGTTCGGTACGCCGCGAACTTAATTCGTTTTTACGCAGACTTTGAGTTAGTTCGGGATAATGACGTGTAGAGGGAGGCAACCCTTCGGGGTTGTACTCCGTGTGTTGGTGGTACTCTGTGGATGCTTGTTTCTATTTGAACGTAAGTTATTTGAGGAATTTCTCGGTTTACAGTTGGATGTAAAAGTACGACTGCCGATTAAGTAGGACATTATTAAATTTCTCTGTTCGTTTGGAGTGAGAACTTTTTTTATAAGAAACACAGAGAAATTGGTTAGAAGTCGCTTAGATATTATTTGGAATAAGTTTAATAATATTATTAAGTCAGTTTTGGACATTTTTGGCGGGTTTTGTTAATAGGTTGGTTAGCGTAATGCAATAATGAAAACAATACATCCTTACAAAACCGATTGGACGACTATTTGATTGCATGTGAGCGCAGCTCCATAAGAATTCATTGCTTACAAATCTGCAACTAAACAGTCGGCGGACTGAAAAATGTCTCTCAAAAGTAATAACCCATTAGCGTAACTAGCAATTCATCCTGGAGTGGTCTGGGGTTGAGCCCAGGGGGGCCTAGGTTTATTGTTCTTTAAAAAATGAAGAATAATATTAAAAAACACATTTTTTGAATGAAACTTTTACATGAATTTCTCTATCAATAAATTTCATAGACTTGGTTATCAAACCGTGTTCCTGTAGATTACTTAAGTACCTACAAATTTTCTAAAAAAATAAAAATTATCACAATTTTTGAACACAACAAAATCATTTTAACTAAAAAAAAACTAGGAAACGTCATACTACATTACTACATCACAAGCAAATAAAAATTAATACGTAGCCAAGAGTCATAATTCAAGATTTCTCTGGGGGGTGCCCAGCAGTACCTGGGGGTGGCCCCGCACCACTGTAGTTACGCCAATGAACTTCTGCCATTTTTGCTTTAAAAAAATCGTATTTTAAATTTCAATCTAGAGTGACAGGGTTGTGTTAAAAACACTAATTCTTAATCAAGGAGCCTTGGAAAAATAGATTTGATCCTGTAATGTTTTTCGTGTCTTATCCTGGCCGGTTAAAAGATGCCCAAATCGTATTTTCAATCATATCTCAATTTTTTCAAATGGAACGAGGGTGACTCATTAGCATGTTTAGAAAAAGAATTTTTTACGAATTGTTTGGTAGCACATACTTGGTATTTGGAGTCAAATTGTCGTTACGAACCGCAATTTCAAATAAATAAACAATATGAGAGAATGTCAAAAGATGATGATATGACATTCTATTCAGCGTGTCATTTTTTATCAAATAAAGTAAGAAAAGCCGAGGGTGTCATTTAAAAATCAAAAGTTGTAGTCATTTCCGGTGAAAGGGGAAGTGACCAAAAACAATTGAATACGTCAATCAATCCTGATTTATGTCATATACTAACATACCAAATCTCGTTTATTTATCTGAAAAAATTAAAAAGTTATAGGGGTGAGCCTCTTTTGAGACAAACCCGGTATAGTTTATAACTACGTTTAATTTAAAACACCTTTAACAGTGTTTTAACCATAGTTTTGACTTTGAAACGTGTTTAAGATAATAAAAAAAAGTTTTTTAACCCTGGTTAATCTCAAATAGTAAATAAACACGAGTATAAAAGGGGCTCAAAGATCAGAAAAATACTCTACCAGGAATCTAATCAAAATTTGGTTTTAAAACAACTATATTATTTAAAGTATCTAAGCTTTTAGAGTCTTTTTATATCTTGAAGCTTTTAAAAATTACTTTGTTTCTTTTAGTGCATCGATAAGTTCAAACCTAAAATAGCCCCAAACTGACAGTAAACGTTTATTTTACTAAATATACATTAAGATAAAGATACTTTTTTTTGTGAAGAATTTTGATAGTAAAAGTGTGTGTCTGAGACTCTTCTAGTTGTATTTACAGAATAGTTAGTTAGAATAAGTGGGAGGGGGGTTAATCTCTGCGACCTTAGAGATCTATTGTGTCCCCCTTTCTTGAGTTATAACTCATCATACAGTCCCAGGACTTTCTACGGAGACCCGTGTCCCTCACAGTCGAGGAGCTACGACCCAGGCCGGGTAGACGAAACGGTAGCTTGTGTCGCCTGTTGGGTTTAGAGGTAGGAGGTAGGCTCCCGACCCTTGGAGGAGGTGGTAGCTTGTATGCCACTTGCGGAGGATGGTCTCACGCAAGTGCCAGCCACCTCTCCTGTAGTTCTCTTTGGGTTTGGCCCCTTGGAACTTTCATTGTTACTGTTCCCAGTGTCGCTAGGGGGTTTCCCCACAGCTTCACCGGTAATGTTTTTATTACTATTATTATCAGATCTCATAGTGTTCCTATGAGTCGCTAGGGACAGTCGGTCCACTTCTACAGAGCCCCGCATGTAGAAGTAAGGGGTAAAATACAATGGGGTGCCCCCCGGTGCCCCAAGGTTGAGGCTGTCCGTAGCCCCGCCCGGTATAGTTATATGTTTTGGTGCAATTAATTCCCTGGCCACGACACTACAGTCAGGGACAAGACGATGAGTGAGATGCTTCTCAGACCAAGCAAAGTGTTAGAGGGGATTCCCCCCAGCACCTGACCAGGAGCTTCCCCACCAACGACAAGGTCTTGCATCTCCTAGAGGAAGATTTACAGAATAAGTAAAGTTTCTAATTATAAAATATTTCCAAAAAACATTAGTCAAAATTTTTGACATAAAAGAACTCAATTTTTTACTCGGTCGGTAAGTTCTGTTGTCTTAAGATAAAAAAAAATTGTATAATTTATACAGGGTGAGCAAAAATCTGATTAATTTTTTGAAATAAATTAACTTTAAGGTGTAAATGAATAAGTGCACACTAAAAGTTTTATAGACATAAAATTAAATGCCGTACCACCGTTTCAATTTTTAAACACACTTAAACGTTTAAATTTGAATTAACCGCTCTGGCATATGTCAAATTTTTTTTTTTTACTAAATATATATGGTTATGTTCAGAACGGTTAACCACGCTGCAGAAATACAGGAAGCGCAGTAACGTCTTGCTTTAATCATACGTATAGAAATGAAATTATCACTGAAGAGGTGCATTTAATATATATGGTCGTAGCGGAAATGGAACCAGAGCGGAACTGCCCTATTTTAACCGCTGTCGTCTCGTCAAGAGGGCGATAAGCCACAAGCCACAAATATTATTTATTAAAAGAAATATTAAAAATTCTTTAAAAGAAAACATATATAGGAACATCATTAAAATTTGTAATTTTGCCATGACTCCTTTTTTTACTTTGACGTTTGACGAAGTGTCAAATAAAATTTGTCATTTTGTCACCGATTTTTCATTGCAATTTGTAACTAAGTTTTTAACACAATACATACCTACAACCCTTATAAAATTTTTATTTTTTTAGATAAAAAAACGAGATTTGGTACGTTAGTATGATATAAATCAGGATTGATTGACGTATTCAATTGTTTTTGGTCACTTCCTCTTTCACCGGAAATTATTACAACTTTTGATTTTTAACTGGCACCCTCGGTATATTTTACACCACTTTATTAGATAGAAAATGACACTCTGAATAGAATGACATATCATATGTGAATTTTTTACGTTTTCGCTTAAAAAAATCGTATTTTAAATTTCAGTCTAAAGATATATATATATATATATATATATATATATATATATATATATATATATATATATATATATATATATATATATATATATATATATATATATATATATATATATGTCCCCTTCATCCCTTCGTGGGATATAGGGCTTCTAAGAGATGTTTCCATCTGATCCTATTCTGAGCGGTCTGTTTGATCTCTCCCCATGTTTTCCCGACCTCTTGGGCTTCAGAGGTTACTGTTCTTCTCCAGGTATAGTCTGTCCAACGAGAATATCCTTGACAGTGATAGATGTGTCTGTCATTTTAATTTCAAAGTAGTTTATTTTATTTTACAAAGAAATAAGTTGGTACAACTGGAACGCATAGCAGGAAATATTTAAAATTTGATTGACAAGATGACAAGTGATTACTTCAAAATATCGTGAAAAAAACTGTATAAAACTGAAAAAATGTAATCGAGTTATTTTATTTAATAAAAACGGTATGTGCAAGACACTACATACCAAAAAATATAAAATAAAACTATTATTTACTTTCAAGCTTTATGAAACTATACCCGCATTTATGATTATATTTATCAATATAACTTATGTACAAATACAAATTTGTAATATTCCACAGGAATAAATAAAACAACATAGGTAAATAAAACAAAAACTATTTTATTAATAATAACACCTACCAAATTTTATACCTTAAAGGTTGATTAATTAACTTTAATCTTAATTTTTTTTAAACCAGTACCTTTTGACATTATTTTTCTGCAGTACTAAAATCCATTATTTACCTATCGTGTGATGTCGATATTTTACAGCTACTCCAGTTTTTAGTATGTGTTTAGTTTGATCCTTCTACCATATACGAGATGCACTTATCTACGACGAAATGGTATACAAACTTTATCGATGGCAACTTCATTGGTGTATAAGACTTTCTGCCTGGGCAGCGAGTATTAACCATAAACTGTGCTCTGGGTTTAGTAATAATACGAATCAAATTGCATCATCTTCCAAAACGCAGGGTATTTAACAAAGTTGACACAAAATTATAACCTATAATTTGGCAAGACTTTGACAAGCGTCAAAAATGACAAAAATCTAAAGGCGAGTTCATACGCATCGGCGTCCGTTTGTCGTTCATCGTTCCGTCAAACCAATAAAATTGAAATACGATCTGTCATTTTTAAATAAACCAATAAAACTGGTTAAAAATAACAAGACATGACGCATGATTCCTTTTATATTTAAATATGGCATCCATAGATAACTTAAAAATTATTAGAAACTTTTTTTAGTAAAATAAATAGATTGGTATGGAACGTCATCTGCTTTTCTTCTGTCATCGTCTGTCGAAATCTTACCTGAGAAAAAAAACAGAGTATATTCCTTGGTCTTCCCCTGGCACGTCTTCCCTGTGGATTCCATTCAAGTGCCTGTCTAGCGATATCTCTGCGGGGTCTGCGCAAAATTTGCCCAATCCAGCCCCACTTTCTTTTCTTAATTTCGA